AGAAATGATTTTATGCCTTTCCTCCTGGTTTCTTGCTGAGCATGCTAGTTTGGAGACCTTTTGCCCCTATCTGTGATTGCTTCAGCACAGCTTGTATATTCTTCATTTATATGTTGTGCTAACTGTGCATTAATTACATAACTAGCTAATGTTTTGATGCATATGACATGTTTGCCTTTTTCTTTAATCACAGTTTCACTATATGTTGGTTTGCTGAAGAAGGTGCAAACTGTATGTTCACCCCAGAATGTCCTGACATATTTATGCCAATAAGTTTTCCCTACCGTAAAGGACTGGGCCAGACATTCGTTCAGAAATTGGGGACTGGAATTGATCTCGGCTTCTTTGAATTGGATAAACTATCAAAGTTCTCCCGGAATGAATCTATTTTCCCCCTTTTAATACATGCAGAACCATCCTTGCCCAGTATCTCGAGGGCGGCAAATGTGGATCAGCAGCTACGAACATGCAATCATGTACAAATTACACAAGCTATCGTGAAGAAGAATATTGCAGGTGATTTTCAAGTTAGAGTTCTTAAGCAGAGACAAGGAGTAGAAGAGACTTACCGAACCGACAATTCTGATGAAGATAATATTGAGACAGGGGAAGAATACTATTTGCGTGACTGATGAAAAACATTGCTGCTTTGCCTTGTCAACTTATGGTAAGAACCCTGATTACTTTCTGTTTCATTTACATTTTCTTTTCATCTAATTATTTTAGGCATAATAAGTAGGAATATATTCTCTCTCTTTTTTAAATGGTAAAGTGCGTTACTCAACTATATAATGTACTAGTGAAAACCGAATTTCTTTAATTTTTTTTGCCTAGTTAAGTATGCTCAATATTTTGGAATTTGAATAACTTGGTTGAGACTTAATACAGCCAAAAAAAAAAAAAAAACGTCAAAACTATCTGCTTCAGGTATTTCATAAACTGTAGTGTCTCAACTTCCTCTAGGTGAGTGTATCCATATAATCCAGTTTAGATCCCAATCAGTTATGCTTACAAAAAGTAAAGCTTTGAATCATTATATAAACTGTTGTGCCAAAATTTATTTTCGTAAATTATCTCAGAGTGTGTGTGTATCTCCATTTCCCTTTTTCCTTGTTAATCTGAACATGAGTTTTGCTTTTCCAGTGTATATGCTGTGCTTGTTCAAAAGTATTGCGAATTCAGTCAACAAAGGTCCCATGTATCACCATCTAATCCAGGACCAGGAACTTACAGGGAGCAACAATTCTTCATACAGGTCTTATCAATGACAAAAAAGAGGTAGGAAGTTGCCGGAAAAAGTATAGTCTTCAGTCTTCATGTGGGTATAGTGTCTAAAAGTGATACGAATCTCTTTTCACACTCATCGTTTGAGGAGATTAATGATATCTCTTTGTTGAATTTGTTCTTTACAGACCATAGTATATATGTTATTGGCTTGAAACGCTCATGTCGCCTGCTCTGTTTGAATTGCATGGGGATTCAGACTATTAAATAAACTCGAAACAGTTCTTTTCTATGCCATGCATGCTGCATCTTGCTTTCGATGCACTGTGGGGATTGCTGTCTGTCAGCATTGGACAGCGAGTGCATTTCACGCACAGGTTACAGGCTTCCCATGAATGTTGTGGGCCTGCGGGTGGGGTCCACATTTTACTGCTTTCTTGTTCCCTAGAAGCAGGGTATAAGAACTCTACATGCCTCACAAAGTGCATAAAATGAAACAAATATTGGGTCTTGAGATTCTTTGGCAGTATTAGGCTTCACCGCAACAGGCTCAGGATTTACTGATGGGCACATTCTGTGGTAACTTCAAGGTATCTTATCTCCCCATCTTGTCTGCTGGAAATATATGTTTTAGTATCTTTCTATCAGATTCAACAATTGAGATGGAGAGATATTGGTAGGTTGAAGATAACATAGAAAAACCCCATAAGGATACATGTTTTTTGGAGTTAAGCATGGTGGAGTATCCTCTTAAATTTTTATCATTATGCAAATTGAAATTGACGTTATTTTTATCAGTTGGCTCCATTCCATGGAGAAAAACCCTAGAGATGGTGGATTTTGGTCAAGTGGGTTTGTCTTGGTTCTGGTCCTGGTTCTGGTCCTATCTAATCAAATCAAACCCTGGAAGGAGTGCTCAGTCATGGGTCCGACCATGTGTTAATGTCAACCACTCTGATTGTCGCCAGCCATTTAGGTACCAACCACTTATCTCCATCTTATCTGAAAAAACAAGTCGTCTCAGCCTGTGCCTCTGAGTTGATTGTCGCAGCAATCAAGGACTCACTCACCTTATTACCATATTGTACATCATCATACTGGGGACCCAACTGACCATTTTCTTTTTCTTTCTCACCAGACTCGTAAAACAGACCTGTGTCTTCTCTCTCTGTGTCTATGCTATTAATTGTCTCTCAGTTGGGAGGGTAATTGACTTTTCTCTTGGGAACCCCCCCCCAAAACTTCAGCTGGCCATATCCTCATAACAAGCTCTACACATGTCACTTTCCCTCCTCATTTCTACACTATACATTCCTTGGTGATGATAGAATTTAAAGTTAGGGGGAAAAAACCCTAGCAATTACCACAGAATTTACCATCACTTTAAAATTACTGATAATACCATTAATGGGTAATTGACCTCTCCTGTGTTTATTATTTATTTTACTCTCACTCTAGAATGAAAACTCTTCTAGTTTCCAAGGTTTCATGCTCCTGTACTTCCACATACATCTCTGTGCATTAAATTTTTCTCTATATACATCTTTGTGTATTAAATTTTTGTCTGGTTATTTTCTAACAAAAATCTGAAAGTGGGAAGAATTTAAGAGTGTGCTAGTCCTAAAAAATTCAATAATATGAGGTCAACCCATCGGGAGTTCAGCCATCTAACCGGGTTTGACAACTTTTAGATCAGTAATTGAAAATTTTACTGTAAATACATATGAATGTAAAGGTTATAAATTTGTGAAAGATCTCCTGCATCATTTTTACTACCGGAGATTTTACCTCCAAGCCTTGCACAATTCAATCTGCTGACTAAAATTCCCAGTGACAGAAATCAGGTAAAAGTTACTGTAAATGTAGAGATTTACTACCACAGTTTCTTTACCTGTTTCTACTGGGGGTAAAAGACTATTTATGGTAGGAAAACAGAAAGATCTTCATCTGCATCAGATATCAATGGTTTCCATTCCTCTTCTACTGGCTCTCTTTTATGCCAGAGGGTGATGATCCTCATGGGAACACCTTTGAACAGTCATGGTACTGCAGTATGTACTTTATGACTTGGCAGGGAGTCTTCATTTCTATTTGTTTTTATAGTTCAAAGAGGAATTATCTTAAATTTACTGTATATATATATTTTTTTAGGGCAAAGTATAATTTTATCTCTGTAGTTTGATCCGATCTTGTTTGTTTAGATTTTGCACTTTTTAATAGTTTAGTACTTTTGAGCAATGGTATGTTGTTATTTTGAGATAAAATTAAGAAAATTAAAAAAAAAAAATTAAAAGATAATAACCCAAAAAATTAGTAATATAATTAACACTTAATTGGATCTTATACTTAAATTAATTTATTACACACTCTATAATTGAATCATTTTACAAAATAAACCCTAAAAGAAAATAGAACAGTCAAAAGTTTCTCTAGTGGGAAAAAGCCAATTTGTGGCTTAACCCTATTATCCCCATAAAAGCAATTTTTAAACTAGGGCTATATAAATATGTGTGTGTGTATATATAGTTTTTGTGGGTTTTGTCATTTTTTGTGAGCATTGAAACATCTTTTACTGAAGAAAGGGAAATATAAAGAAGATTGAAGGACAAGTGTTTTTTGGTTGGGCTTTTGAGGAAGACAAATAATAATTTTGGTTGCTAAAGAAGGGTCCAAACTCAGAGAAAATGATTGTTGAACAACTTTTATATTCTCTGTTTTTAAGGCTACGGTGCTTGTCTATTTCTTGGATCAAAACACACACATATATATACACACACACACACACACACACACACACACACATATAAACACACACACATATATATACACACTTCTTTTCTTTTGATCCACCCTTTTTCTTTCTATTTTATGAATTACCCTTTTGTTTTTAGAAAAAAATATAGTAAAGAAAATCTATTTTGGACTTTGTAATTACTAGATTTCCTTTTGTTTTTTCTTTTTTTTTTTTCAATTCTTTTGCTATTTTTCAAATTAAATAATATTATATAGATCTATGAATATTCATATAATGATAATTCTTCACATAGTTATATAAAGATATTTTTTAAATTAATTTTTGGGTTTTAAGATTAAGTTCTTCTGAATAATTATCGTACCGATATGATGAATTTAGTTTTACTCTAACTTACTATCTAATCGAATTATACTAAAAAAAATTGAATTTTTACTTATTTAAAGAGGATTTAATATGATAATATAATTTTAAGTTATAAATTGTTCGTTTTATGCATTTTAGTTAATAAATTATATTATTATTAAGATACGTATATTACGTAATTTATAAAATCGGCATAAATTTTAGTTCGAACAAAATTATAACACAGATTGATACTATAAAAGACACTTAAATTGATTTTTATAACATATATATATATATATATATAATATCCAGTATTTTTTGAAAGCATTAATACCCAGTAATTAGATAAGGTCAAATGTTGTTTCTCAAATAAGAAAATACATCTGTATCCACTATAATATATATATATATATATATATATATATATATAATCATGAAGCATCATCATCTACATATATTTTTTAATAAAATTTCAGATTTTCCTGTTACTTATTTATTATTTTTTTTGCCATTTTCAGATAGTCAAAGAAGAAAAGAATCCCAAATAGTGGATCCCCCAGCAGCATCTCTTCCATTGCTCAGTGCAGAGCAGAAGCAAAGCTTGACCTTGCAGCCTTCTTCTCTTAATATATATATATATATATATATATATAATATTGTATGTACCGACATTTTGTATTGTTTACACAATGAAACTAAAACCTAGACTGCCATGAACCAGAGAAGAAAGTAAAGAATCAGTAATATCTATACTGTAATTTTGTATAATAATAATAATAATTAATTAGATCTTAAGTTGAATGATTAACAACATCATATTGATATTCAGTATTAATATAAAATTAATCAAGTTAATTAATTATTATTTAGGTAAAAAATATTTATTTCCCAAATATTATTTTGTTTAGATAATTAATTGTATGCTTTTCAAAATTTTAATAGATCTAATTATGGTGATAAATAAAAACCAAGGTTAAATATTTTATAATACAACTAAATTATAATATTACCAAGATGCCTGCAAGCAATAAAGGCGCACGTGCACCATATATTTTGCTCATACAACATACATACATACATACATATATATATATATATATCAGCTTAATTTACCAAAGGGTAGTAAAAATTGTATCTAATTTGAAAATTTAATTATATATAATATTAAATTGATCCGAAAAGAATTTTTAATTTTGGTTTAATTTTCTTGTGGGAAAAAAGCTTGGTCCACCAAGATGCCAGAAAACAAGCCATGGGAGACCAGCCTGTCTTACGGGCCCCTTTAGAAACCCATAAATATTGGTGATTAAGTTAAATCATATTTAATTTTCAATTAATCTTAATTATGATTAATTAGCATATCTACATGCATATTATATGTATCATTATCATTATAATGAATGCACCACACACATACCGCCAAAATTGCCTGCCTTGAACTCACTGTGAAACACTTTAAGCTTGGTTATTTATAATATATATATACAAACCACCTGCACATATACACTCTATACACATATATATTATATTATATAAAAGAAAAATATCTATCATCTGGGTCTGGCAGCTCAAGCTGTTTATAACACGAGCTGTCTTGCCGCTCGAGCAAAGTGCAAAGCAAACCGCCTCTCTCTCTCTCTCTCTCTCTCTCTCTCTCTCTCTCCAAAAGGGAAGGGAAGGTTTAAAAGCAGAGCAGAAAACCCTGAAAGAGAGAGAAAGAATATCAGGCTAAAGAGATTTTAATGTTCACCAACCGCCTTTAAATCTTTTTTCTTTTATTCAACCAAACACGTCTTTAGCTTCACAAACACTTTCTTCTCGTCTCTACGAATTCACATCATCTTCTTCTTTAATTTCTCTGCGTCTTGAACAATGAATAAGTCAGAGATTATGAAGCTCCAGGTACGTACCCCCCCCACTCTGGATCTACTTTTATGTGTTTATTTTTTGTAACTTAGTTTGAATTTAACGTGATTTTGCAGACTTTTGTTTTTAGAGTGAGCATAGACTGTGATGGCTGTAAACACAAAGTGAAGAAACTTCTCCAGAAAATCGATGGTATTTAATTTGTACTGCTCTTCATCCGTTTCTCTCCTATGACATATATATACATGTACGCGCTATAAGTGTATACGTATATGTATGTGTATGTTTGTGGTTTGTGTGGGTGATTAGGTTTAGCTTATTGGGTTATATGATTTTTCGTGGGCAGGGGTGTATAGTACCTCCATTGATGCAGAGCAAGGGAAGGTGATGGTGACAGGGAATGTGGATCCAGCCATAATAGTCAAGAAACTCACCAAGTCAGGAAAGCATGCGGAGCTATGGGGAGTACAGAAAGCAAACCCAAACAACATTCAGAATCTCATCAAGAGCATGCAGCAGCAGCAGCAGCAGCAGCTCGGTCATGGCGGAAAAGGCGCTCAAAAGGGTTCGAAGGATCAACAAAAAGGAGGCGGCCACCATCACCAACAGCAACAGCAAATGAGAGTATCTAGTAAGGATCTGATGAACAAGTTGCCATCACTGAAGGATCAGAAATCCGTCAAGTTCGACTTGCCTGACGATGAGTTTGATGAGTTCGACGACGAGGATTTTGACGATGAAGATGAGTTCTATGATGATGATGAGGAGGAGGAGTTTGTTCATGGTCATGGGCATGGACATCATTTGCCAAACAAGATGGTACCCATGATGGGTAATGGGCAAAACGTAATGATGATGAATGGGTCTGCTGCAGGGAATGGTAAAAATGGAAAGAAAGGAGGTGTAATTGACATACCCATACAGATGAAGGGGAGTAGTAAATTACCGGAGGGTAAAAATGGAAAGGAAGGGAAAAAAGGTGGAGGAGGAGATAAAAACAGTAAGAGCAAAGGCGGAGGAGGAGACAAGAACGGTAAAAAAAGTGAAAAAGATGGTAAAAGTGGCGGCGGTGGAGGTGGAGGTGGGTTATTAGGGTTCATGAGGAGGAGTAAAAGTGGAAGAGAGAGTGGCGATAGTAATAACAAGGGTGGCTATAGTAAAAATAAGGGCAGTGTTGGCGGAGGCGGCAATAAAGGCGATGGGCCTAAGAAGGGCGGCAAAGGGGGCCACGAAATGAGTGGCAAAATAAAAAATGCGTTCCATGAAATTGATATTTCCGCTCCTGGCAAATCCGGTAAAGGCAATAATGGTGGTGGGGGCAAGAGTATGGGCCAAATGGGTAATTACCCGATGAATCAAATGGGTAATTACCCGATGGGAAATGTTCCAGCGGTGCAAGGTCTACCTGCAGGTGCAGCAATCAACGGTGGATATTATCAAGGGAATCCCTACAATCAACAGTACATGCAGATGATGATGATGATGAATCAACAACGTCCGCATCCGAATCCGAATCCGAATCCGAATCCGAACGATATGTACCAGCCAATGATGTACGCCCGGCCTTATCCGGCAGTAAACTACGCGCATCCAACGCCAATGCCGCCGCCGCCGCCTCCGGCCACCGATTCGTATACTCATTTCTTCAGTGATGAGAATACCAATAGTTGCAGTATCATGTAAAAATTGGTAAGAGTAATGGCAGAATTAGGTTATGTTTTTTGCTTTTAATATTTGGGATATGTGTTTTTAATTTTGAAGTGGTGAGATTATACAGAAATGCAAGGTTGAAAATTGCATTAAGTGTTTATTTTATGAGATAAAATAATTTTCAGATTTTAAAAAAATAATAAGTAGCTAATTTTAATTCAAAAAGATTAATTATGGGTTTAAGAGAAAAAGTTTTGATTAATAAGTATTAATTATGATATAATAAAATAATTAAAAACTTGGAAACACGATGATTAAGTTTGAAATATGAGAATAATTAAACATGGTGTTGGGCCAAAGGGCCCATGTGTTATAAGACTAATTTACAGAGGAAAATTATCGGTTTAAATTTAATTATAATAATTAAATAAAGATGCTCAATATTTGAATGTAATTATGATTTAATCAAAATTTCTAATTACATATAATTAGAATGATTTTTTAAAAAATAACAATTTAAGTATTCCAAAAGCTCATGACAACCTCTAGCAATTTACCCCTCCAATTATTATAAAAAATTAATATTTTTATTGATATTTTATAAATTATAATTCGAACCAAATATCGATAATTAAAATCTATGTATCAACTGTTATATTTTGTTGCGAGACGAAACGTGTTACTATCTATCAAAAACTAATTATAGGGACCAAAGATAATAGAGACCGATGCTCATAAAATTTTGCATTACGTTAACATGCGGTTAAGATAATAACTTTGAATTTTGGTGAGTTGTTAAAAATGAATAGAAAGAAATATGTAAAGAAAAAAAACGTTAAAAGGGTGTATTTGACTTCGGCTTTTGAACGATTTCGCTAGGAGATGCTTTTCTCACTTTTGAAAAGCAATTGGAGAGTCTATGTACTTGTCATGATCTAAAGTTACTATCTCTAATTGGGTCCATCTCGATTTATGTTCTCATTTCTCATTATAACATTCAAAGTGTTCAAACCCTAATTCCATCTTCTTTAATTTTTATTATTCAATTTAAAACATTTTTCACGATTTTTTATTCATTTTTCAATAATTTAATAAGATATCGTTTGAAAAAGTGACATACCCTTCGTAATTTTAGGTATGATTTGACTTGTTGTTTTAAAAGAAGAAAAATTTAATACGGATACTATCTGATTTATAATTCATTATTCAAATTTTATTTAAATTTTTTAAATAAATTATCAATTTAATATATAAAATTTTATAAGTATTACGTTTTGACTTATTATTTTTCGAACGTTAAATTTTATTTAAAAATTACGTTATATTTTGAAATAATTTTTTTTTAAAAGGAAAAAAATTTAAGGCCCTTTTCCAAAAAAAAAAAAAAAAAA